CAATTTTTACAATTAAAAACAAAAATTAAGGCACACTGATAAATCTGAATTATATTGCCGGGAATGATTTTTTCTGTCTTTACTAAGGAATTTCCCAATTCTCTTCATTTGAATGACTTTAGATGTTATGCACTTAATAATTTGTTTTCGATAAATCTTTAGCTCAGTAAGTAACCCCTTATCACCGCGTTTATTATAATATGCAATGTGTTCACAATGTTGTGAATAGAGTGTATGTGTAAGAAGTGATAGAAAGGGAACAGAGGTTTGATTTTTGAATAACTTTTCAATTTATCGATATATTTCACCTGAAAGCATTAGCCTTAATTCATTATTTACACAGTAACCTATCAAAATATCGCCATCCACATGCATAACTAAAGACAAGGCTGTCCGGAAAGATTAGTAGGTCAAATCCATGCAAATTTTGGCATTTAAGGACAGATGATACAAACAAAGTTTTGTCAAAGAATTCGAAAAATACAACATGTGTCATGATTAAATGAATAAAATGAAAAACTTTCACAGCGTAGTTTTAATTTTTTATTGAAATTTGCACAAAAATGGAATTTAAAGTGAAAAATATTTTTTATAGATTAAGAAGGATGGTTTCAGAAGGGCACACTTTTGACCATCACAGAGGGTTTACAATTTCTTTATATTCTAGAAATTTATTATTTTTATCATTTGCAAGGAAATTAAGCATATAAAATATATACCAATCCAGGCATCCATTCTTTGTTTGTATTATTTGTCCTCAAACGGGCAAAACATCTTTGGCTAATTTTGGATAAAAATTTTACAAAGGAATTTGAAGAGGAAAATCATTTTAAAAATCTTTGTTAAAAAACACAAAGCCAATTGTAATATCGACATGGAACCATATTTGGACAGTTTAAATTAAGTATCCCTATCCCTATATATTCTTAATTCTGAATTTATCTGTGCCTTTTCCCTAGAAAATGTGCTCAGATGTGGCCTATGGACCCCTTGCATTTCCTTAAGTAAAGTGTTGTAAATTTGCAAGCTTACATTGTGACAAACATTTATTTTTATTTACCTGAAAATATACACGTGTCTCAAAATTACAATACAGCTACAGAAAAATAATATATGTCCTTAGTGTTTGATTTAATTATTCTGTTAAACAGATTGTTACCATTCTCATTTCTTTTCTTTTTTAGGTTACACCGCCAGTTATTTGGGTAATTACAATATTTGGAAACCAAAGTTATATGGTATGTATTTTGCTAAATCTTGAATTTGTAAGTACCTACTTCCCCCTACAAGCTAAGATAATCATTTTAGCTACTTTTTACTTTTCTAAAATCAGTATCGGCTACAAGTCCTCAACCGAAGGCTGTTGCTAAAGCGAAAACATTAAAAGCATGAAATCTACGTGAGCCAAAACATTTTAGGAAAATAGATGATTGAATTTTAATTTAACTAGCTGTCTGTCACTTTTTGGAGGCTTTTTAAGCCATAATATGTTTATTTGATCAGATTAATCAAATATATTATTTCTATATATAAAATGCTTAGGGTAACGATGTATTCAATTCGCCAATTAAAACATAAAACAACATGATAATTTGAAAGAAAACTTTAGAGTTTTACCTTAAATGAAAAATAGTACATTAAACCTCTACAGTTTAGGGAATATTGTTATTATTTTTACATTGCAATTAAAACATTTTGATTTTTACATAAGGGAAAAATAATTCATAGGGAATGATAATAAAAAATAAAGTCTTGCAGATGCTTTGATACAAATTTAATGTTAACATTTTCTCAAATTTTCTGAATAATTTCGTAAATATTACCTGTATTTTGCTATAGCAATTCATACGGAAATATAATAGAAATCTTATTTTTCTGGAAGTTACTAGTATTTAAACTAGCCAGAGGAGTTTTATTGATATATCCTTTCACTTTCATAAATTATTACTTTATCCTTAAAATACTTTAAAGAGAAAAAGCTATTCAGTTGTGTAATAATGACAAAATATTAAAACTATAAGGTTTAGAATAGAAATGTACGAAAGCAAAACCAACACACTGGTTTTGTCAGCCTGTGTTTCATGTTCTGCACAGAGTTTGACAAATTGAATACACCCGTGAAACGTTTGTAAACATAACGCGAGGTCTCGCAAGTAAGTTAAGGCAACGTACAGAGGTTTCTATGCAATTGACTTATTAAAACGTTGATTTGGTACCCACGACATGCTCCTAACTAGTGCATATTATGACGTCATATTATATCTTCTTTATATTTTACTTTATCTATTAAAGATCCTATTGCACCGACGTTATTTTGTTTATGTACCTATAATATTTAAATTGAGAGATCAATGACATCATAATAAGACGTCATATTGTACAGTTGCTTCATAATGCTTGGTGAAATTAGTATGTATGAAAAATTAAGCTTGGAACTTCTCTGTGTAAAAATTACACAAATTATGCATTTTTATTTGCTCATTTGCATAGAAAGGCCTCTACCTAGCTTTAATTTTCTTGCGCTGTTGTTGTAAATGCGTACGTTTCACCAAGTGTGTGCAATTGTTCAACTCCGAACACACCACCAAATACTGATTCACCAAACTGATGTGATGATTTTTCTTTCGCACATTGCTTCTTTAAAATTTGTTGCCGCCGGGCGCATGGTGTTTCACAAACACATCTCGTTTATATGCAGGATTACTTCTAAGTATACTGTAATACCTTGTTGTATTTTGTAGATCAGTTCTCCACACTGACTGATGACAAGGTGTCCATGTTATTCTGCTTTTTGTGTTCTGACTCCAGCCCTCCTGACTTCACTGACACAGAGTGGCTGAACTGCCTTAACGTTATACGACGGACAGTGTACGGTAAAGGGAATCCTGTAACACGTGAGGAAGCACAGCAGACTCTGGACAGACTAAAGTCAAGTGATTACCTTTGGGAAGATCAGGGCAGGATTACAATGAACACAAAGGATGAGACAATGTATAGGATTGCATCAAAAAGACCTTATATACCATTCCTTTACAGTAGTTATGACACAGTCAGTGTGTACCTGAGATCAATGGGGTACAAAAGAAAACCTGAAGAGAAGTGTGTCGTTAGTAACAGAAAATACTGTGATTCCTTACTGATACTTCGTCTACAAATGAACATATTGACTCACGTCACCATGGAGGACACGAGTATATATGACAAGATACACCACATATGTAAGTTGGTGCAAAATTATATATATTATTGACATATTCATATCTTCTTTATTTAGACTTTTCATTTTATAATCGTATTATATTCTAAAGAATGATGAATTTAAAAGCAAAAACATAATATTTAAATATTGCAAGTAGTTGAGTGTAACGTTGAAATTTTTCACCCCAAGAAAACCATTGTCAACTGAGGCGCAGCCGAGGTTGACAATGGTTTTCGAGGGTTGAAAATTTTCAATGTTACACTCAACTACATGCAATATTTATTATATTATACTGAATGTTTTATACAAATACGTATAACAGTGAACCGTGCTCGCATAAATTCCGCGCAGTCGCTATTTTTTTTTATATATAAAAATAGATGTTGGAACCAGTCTCAATCATAGAAATCGCCTGCATGGAGCAGTGGTAAGAGTGTCTGCTCTAGAGTCTCGAAGTAATGAGCTGATCTTAAGGTCGTGGGTTCGAATCCCACAGTCGGACGTGGAGACGGGTATTTCGGATGAGACCGTATAAACAGAGGTCTCTTGTCGCAGTAGGTGAAGGCACAAAAAAGATCCCTCCCTTTTCAATGGGCCTCAGTGCTGAGTATAGGAAAAAAATTGCATCTCTCCAGCGGCAAGTGGTGGCGGCTCCATATGATTGAAATATTTTGGAGAGAGACATAAAACAAAATACAATTAATCAATCACAGAAAAGAAAGAAATTGAGTTATTACTATACCAGATAATTCTGCTTAAATATTCATGTTTAGTGTATTTTATACATATAGGTCTGTGTGCCTTCTTTCTTCAATAAATGATTATTCAGATTAGGCGTACTGTACATAAATGTACGGATTCCTGGCATACTTTTCAGAATAAATTTCAACTACCTTTTATAGTTCCATTGTTTATTGAAAATCTCATTTCTAAGTAAACTCCGCCCGTTGAATTAATAAAACCACTAAGACTAATGAAACTTCTTTCTTGGACTGCTGGAACTGCTGGTACCACTCTTGGACTATTGTGGGACTACTGTGGTACTGCTTTAGCAGTCCAAGGTAGCAGTCCCCGTGTCTGCTGTGGGACTGCTGTGTGTTAGGTTGGGTCTGGTCGGTACTGTAATCAATTAATATTTAAATTGTATCTCTACTTGTACATATATATATAAAGAATTTAAATGTTAATGTTTTAATGACAATATTCTTTTTCGATTCTCTACAGTGAATATCCCAGAAAATCAAATTAAGAGCTGTGAAGATGAACGAAGTAAATTTCTAAGGACACTAAGAAGAGGGGAGGCTGTTCATTATAGAGGGAGGCCTGAGGACAGTGTAGATCATGTGAGGTGGCTTCTTGGATACGGGTGTAGAGCGAGACATGACATTGTAAGATCCTGTATAGGCCTCCAACCGCACTGGGACATTTATATTCTCGACAACAAAGCTTACAGAAAATCAAGTAAGAAGTAGCAATGTTTATGTATATAGGACAATCTACAGGTAAGCTTGGACTTTCAATAAGTCGTTGCTTTCTCGGCGCTATGCAATTAGTGTCAGTTATTCATTAAGAAATTAATAACATCAGGAACTTTCAATTTTCGTTGACACAAGGAGATGACTTAAGATCCATCTCTTTGCAGGACAAATCGGTGTAATTGATTACTCGATACTCTAATTGGCATTTGCTCTTATTTCAGTCCCATGTATATTTCAACAGTAAGGAAATCTTTGTAATCTTCAGAAGCCAATTACGTAACGTAGAGAATGCCTAGTCTCACTGAAAGGCCAAGTTTAACTGGTAATTGTCCAAGGCCCTTTTGTTTTTTATCTGAAAAATAATTTTAAAAAATACAATTTCTCTGAACTTGGAGCTTTGTTCAGACATAAATTCAGAGATGAAAGGATTTCTTGTATATGATTACGTTTAATGCATTTTTTGTATTCATAGACATCGCATTATGACGTCATGTTGGAGTGCATCCTCTAGTTTAATCATTATGGAGTCTTTATAAATAATGTTAGCAAACGTCGATCCTTGACTTTTTCGAAGAATCCATTTTACATGTTACCAAAAGTTTCAATTGGTAAATTCTGATCTGTGTGCTGTCTTAATATACTTGCAAGTGTTTCTATTATAGACCACAAGTGTTTGCTAAGCTCACGGTTTTATCCTGGGAAAATTCTGATATTCAATTCATACTTGTAATTTGAAATTGCCATGGCTTACTTTAAGAATTCAGTCTGAGCTTAATTGCTGTCTTACTGTATGAAAAAGCATTCCTGCAAACGGCTACGTACACGTATTGCCTTCATTTTATGATATAAAATAGAAGTACAACAAAAATGGTGCTGAATGGGAAAGAAACATGATTTTTTATATATTCAATATTTATGACTAACAGTAGAAGCTTAAGGATACAAGATATACTTTTAATTGCTTAAGTTGCAGTTAAATTTAATTTAATTCTAATGATCATTTAACCCCAAGTGGGTCTTTGTACTTAGACGTCGTAAAATTCAAACTGATAACAATTTACAAACAAGTTTTTAAAGTTTCTATGATTTATATGTTTAACTATATTTATCTTTAAATAAAAAATCTTTCTATCCCAGATAGCATGCTAACATTGGGCCAACGTTGGGCCAATGTCATCTGTTACATTGGGCCAATGTTGGCAAATGACATTGGCCCAATGTAAAAGTTTGCTCATCGGCCCAATGTTTGTCCGATATGTTGGGCCAACTTTGGCCCAATGTAGAGTGTTATTTCTACAGATATTGGCCCAATGTTGCGCCAACATTGGCCCAATGAATGCGACATTGGGTCAATGTTGGCCCAATGTCATCAAGAACGTTCAACAAAAGTTGGCAAATGACGTTGGCCCAATGCCATTGTGCTCATTGGCCCAATATTGGCCCAATTTATTGGACCAACACGCCCAATGTGTATAAACATTTTATTGTTACAAATCTGTATATTAACAAATCCAATCGTCTCTACAATCAGAAATATATCTACCACCAATCCTACTTGAAAATACAAGTTAGCTTTTCTAAATTTACAAGTAGTATCAGACTTGTTAAGCTTCCTACAATTTATCAAAACAAAAGAAATTATCAATGATTTTTTCTTTACAAGGAAAGTAAATGGAAGTATAAAATAACAGGTTTTTTTTAAACAGTTAAAACAATAAAAATAGTTGCCCCTTATTTAGATTGAAATTTGCATATAGTTGAATAAATTTCCAAAGTTTTCCACTCATTTGACTTATATACACTTTTTATGAACAGGTTTATAACTAATCACTGTCCTCCATTGTATTTTTGAATTTCCCTCTTTCTTTTCCTGTCTGTTCCTATCCTTCCTTCATGATCGTACGCAATGAAATTCCATAGAAATTGCTTCAGCATGCAAGCGGTTAATTCGAACAGCTCCTTTATACGAAAAATGAATCAATTTTATTGAGCAAAAAAAGAAAGAGAAATGCTGATGCCTAAAATTTAAGCAGTACAGAAATTACACACATTTATTGTATTTCTAATTGATTCCGTGTATTCGAAACTATAAGTACATAGAATATTCGATTATTAGAAGATTGAAGATTTCTTCTGCATTTATTATAATGTAATAGTATTATTCAGGGGAACAGAGCACGTTAATCTGATTACTTACTTTTTAAATCACCGTCATCTTTGAAAAAGCCGGATTTCTTTATCTGTCTTCCAATGGAATTCTTTGCAATTTTGTTTCAAAAACATGGCAACAAATACTCCCCTCTTCATTTACCAAGTAATTTCCACTAATTAAATAAAATGGGAACTTTAATCCTAAGAGATTTTATTTCCCTGAAACATGTAAAACACAAAGTATCTATTCCAAACTTACTTTTCCTTACGGTAGAAAATATAAGAGAAATTTATGAAATGAAACAGAACCAGCCAAAATTTCAAAGGTATTTAAAAATATAATTTACAAATTAGATTTTGATTAAGGTAAAAAATAACATAGATCAATGATACAGTGATTTTATTTTATATACAGAAAGGACACATGCAGTGATTTGCGACTGACCTGACTAAAGCAAGCTTAATTAGAAAAAGTTAAAGATTGCCTGAAACAAACTTCATATTTTGTGTCTAAAAATCTGAAATAATACTATACATTTCCGTATGTAAATGTCTGGAGATACATGTAGTTCTAAAAAGCTACATTCAAGAACACACATATCAAAGCTTTCTTTTTAACATAAATCTTCAACGTTCTGCTTTTGGAAACATCCGAGATTAAAATGTTAGGCG